TTAATCGGAGGAAATTTCGATTGGTACGGCCCTGGCTGCAGCCCTTCGTCAGCTGTTCTCGCCAAATATGCATTGATGACGTCATTGTTTAGTTAGGTAGATGTATGACAGACTCGAGTTTGTTTAATGCCCCTGCCCGCCGAAGGCGGGCTGATACATTAGAATAATGTTAGGAAGATATGTTTTAGGACAAACGATGTTTGGCGGGAACAGCTGACGGAAGGCTGAAGCCAGGGCCGTACCTACCGGTATTTCCTCCGATTAAGAAAACTTTAAGGGCCTGTATCTCACTCACATTCATTTTTAAACAAATAATAAACAAAATTCTAGTAAATACTACTACACTACTTCACTTGGTGAGTACTACCTACCTGACTAAACTTCATGTCTCAATTCCAATGTCAACTAATGTAAAAAATTACCGACAATTGGTATGTTATTTATAAATACCTACATCTTAATTATACTATTTTTGCAAAATTTGTTTATGATTGTCTTCCAAGTGTTTACAGTATAATTTTTTTTTGGAATGATATAGTAATAAACTAGGTGTTTCTATAACGCCACAATGGCAATCATTTTTTCTTTATGTAGATATACATTACTTAAAATGTGAGGTGTCATAATATTATTATATTATCCAATGTTTTACATTGCATCATAACGAATGACTTGCCAGAAAATAAGCTAAATGATTACTTATATTAAAAATATATAACCATAAAGTGAGTATTGTCCTAATTTGTTTTCTTTTTCCATTTTCAATGTCAGTAATAAGTTGGTTAGTTACAAATAAATGTCCATTTGCAATAAAAAGCAAACTCGTGTACTTTTTAACATTCTTTATCTTTAATAATTTATCACATTCTCTACTTAGGTATTACATATTATTATTATGTATATTTGATTATATTTGCATATAACAGAGCATTTTTCAGGAAAATTATACAAACTTTGGACACCATGGGATGTCATCAGGCATTTGACCAGTGCTCAAAGGAGACGCCTTTAGCTGCAGAACGTGGCAGTACCTGAAAGAAGTGTAAAAGTGTCTCTTTAAACACAGAAAACAAATAACGCGATACCTATCTTTTGCTAAAGGAAGGATTTGCAATCATTAATTGACATTGCCTTGTGTGCACCACAGGGTAACACAATTAAAAGAGTAAGAAACAACAATAATTACAGTCACTTAAACTTTGTTTTAAGATAGAAAGGTGCAATTCCTGGGTACTTTTGTGTTTACTTATTTATTAACTACTTTACGTATGTGAGAAAACTGTAGCTAACAAATTTCTCAGAATAACACAATATAAATTAACTTGCAAAATGAAATTTCAATGTCTAATTAAAAATTATAAATTCATCAATCAATCAGTAACGTTTACCTTTTTCTGCGAATATGTTAAAATGACTTTATTTATATCTACCTCATTGTTTTCCAACATTTAATATTTTAGAAAGTATGTTGGGTTGCCTAACCACTTGTTTAGTTTCTGGTAATTAATTTTTGTACTTTAAAAAGTGACCTTTCATTGGTTCGACAGGACCGGACTAAAAATTTTCAGGAGATGGTTGCTAGATACAATTAATAGTTTTTGTGAATGTTGAAGTTAGTTTAAAACTTTTAATTATTATGCTTAAGTGAATGTCTTGAATGAATTCCACAAGATTAATAATAACTGCACAAGTTTATTTTACCAATCAATGTTTTAAATATTTTCCTGAACAGCCAAAATAACGTGATTTTAGATAGAGCTTAATTTAGGAGATATTCGGTTTTAGAAAATACTTTTTATTTTATTTAACAATCAGCAGTGATTTTATACTAATTTAAAAAAAGCAAATACATATAAGTTATTACGTCGTTGAATACTACAATAGATATTCAAAAATAGCAACGCAAACTACTACATTGTAAATTGTAAATTTAGTGTTCTGAATTGTATGCACTGAATTTAAAATCTATCGTTTAATTGCTCAATAGTGTTAATTGGCTGAACATAAACTAATTGTTTTAAGTGGTCCCATAAAATGTCTGAAGGATTGAGTTATAAATAACTTTTATTGAAATGTATTTCCTTTTTTTCTACTTTAGAATAATAAATGAATTGTTAAATAAAATATTAAAGTATTTTTTAAAACTGAAAATCTAAATGAAATTCTATCTGAAGAAAGTTATCTTTTGATTTATAATTAGAATTCTAGTTTTTTGATATAACATTTCATTTTTGCTGTTCAGTTGCGAAACACCCTGTATAAATACTTAACTATACTTGAATTTTAATTACAAATTTTCATTTATTTTCGGAATTAATTCAATGAAAATGAATAATAAAAATTCTGTTTGAATTTCATAGTGGAAATATTTCCCTGGATTCGTGCCTGCTTTGTTGAGTTTTTATCGTTTATTCTTCAAATAAATCGCTTTTACATATTGAAATGGCTTTTAACCTTGCGGAGGGAGCGGGGTAAAGAGACATTGTGAAAGGAACTGTTTGAATGTATTATCGTATATCGTTATCTCTTGAGATTATTAGCTTGGCCACATGTCTCATGTTGTTTGAACGATTTCTTACGAAAATAATAAAAACCGTCGCAGAAGTCTAATATGATGCTTCTGCGTACCGTTTCTAGGTCATCACCGTTTCGGGCATAGCTTTAGAATATTCTTGCAAGCCTTATAGCAGTATGCAGTGCATGAGTGTATCTCGTTTTTGCTGTCCGTTGGTCTATGCTGTCTATAAAGGGAGACGACGCCTGAAGGTATTTAGCCCTAATCCTTATTCAATTTTCATTTGATTGTGTGGAATATGTTTCTATTTCGTGATTGATGGGTTTCGATTACCGTTGCTTAGATCTTTTTTGACGTGATGTCTTCGTGCTTCAACATGGGAGTCCATCTTGGCATCTTGCCTGGTCGTTCATCTACTGTGAATTTTTATAAACTCTTAGTTTATTTCAGGTCGAATAATTATGGTTTTGTAAGAATTTTTAAATTTTCAAAACAGGTTTAGGCGATGATTGTAGATTTTTCGTATCGATGTGACCACGCCTTGAAACATTGCCCTCGTTTTATAGCCAAAATATATAAAATATTTCTCAAAAATATTCATCTGCCTTCAAAAATTCTATATTTATGTTAGAAAAATTTTCATTTTTGCCTCGTTATTCTAGAGTTTGAATTTTAACTTGTTTTTTTTTTATAATACAGGCTTGCTGTCAGATAACAACCTAAGATTGGATGGACAAACTACTTACAGATGTTATGTCTTTTAAAGTGTGACTTATTTTATTTCCGAAAATGCCTCTAATGAGTTGATTGAAAAATTCATTGGACATAAAATGTTAACAATGGTAATTATCATTAATAATAAAATAACAAAACCTAGTGAACATATAAGTAATATTAAATTGTTTCAAAAGGTTTCCATTAAAACATAAAGATGAACATGAGGAGGTAAATCGAAAGGAGTCGAAACGTGGAGAAACAGAGCCCTCACTCACACTTTCTTCTCTTGGACTTGGAAAGGACAGTTGTATTTATGAAATGGTTTGTGAATTTTTAAATCTTGTATTTCGTTAGTTTGACAATAATTACTACTACAATTTTTTACTC